AACGTATATCTCCCAAGTACTACTCACTCATAGTTGAAATGAATGTGAAACTGAATATTAATCAACGGATAGTATTAAGCTTTATGGTATTTGTTGGCTCAGTGTATGTCAGTACAAGTGCACAAAACTACTTACGTGAACATAGCACAACTATTCTGGGGTTTTCTGTATTTTTGTACACTTTTACTGACATTCACTGAGCCAGAAAATTCGAGTGTTTTGGAGTGAAATCTTAATACAACACAAAGCTAAACCTCAAAAAATCCTCACTCAGTATGTGAATGACTATAGTGATACCACGGTTTTGTGTTAGCCAGGGAGTGAGTGTACTGGAAGCCATCAGCACTAGCTACATCTCTTCTGGCTATGGTTTTTAGACATCCACGGCATCCAAAGGGTTAATTAACGGCTATTATCAATAACACGTCAAATTTAGCAGCTGTAGACACAGAACTGGCTTATGCAATTTCTTTAGAGGAACTACAGCTTCGGTACTATCTGTTGTAGTACAGCACGGTACGATTCTTGCCTTGCGTTGTCAGAATTTTCACCATAACAGGTGCGGTAAAAAATAATGTGAAGACAAAAACAGAGATTATAACTTAATAGGATTATTCATAATCAGAATTCACTTTCGTTGCCTTTCTCATTCTTCTCTCTGCTCTGTTTCTGCTCTTGTTCCTTGTCGTGAGAGAGAATGAGGGCCCGTGTCTCGTCTGAGGAGACTTCATCTCCCTCCCCCTCCTGTTGCAGCTGGTTGTAGGTGGAGAGGTCCACATACTTGTAGAAGAACGACATCACTGCAAATAGGATGGCCACACCTCCGATGCAGGCGGCAAAGAAGAAGAATTCCAGTGCCTGTATGGATGGTGTGTGGTGTCACAGAGTGTTGCAACATTACAACAGTGAAAGTGAAGAAAATCTTGACATGTGTCTCTTGTTCGGAATCCACAGTGTATTAGCATGGGGCAGAACTAAATGTAGTATACGATATATAGAGAGGTGTTTGAATAGTGTGTATCATAATTGCGGGTGCTTTTCTGCATGCAGTGTGACCTGTGAATAAAGGACCAGTTGCACATCAACTATTGGGGGTTTGGTTTTGTTCGGATGCATGCACTCAAGGTGCATTTAAGTACTGCCTCATTCATTAGGGATACTGTAGCCTTACATATGGCGAACTACACCATACAACCTATGACGTTATGATGCACGCAAAATAGCATCACGCTTTATACTGCACAAGATCCAACACATCTTTTATGAGTGTCAACTATGCTAGCATATCGTTGAGGTTTTCTCACACTCTTATCTACATGCACATGCTCGCGCCACCGTTTTCGCTGAGAGAAACTCCCCTTTTTTTGTTCACTCACCCATTCCTATCCAGCAATTATTGGAAATTTGTCATCAGAGTTTGTAAAAACTTGTTCTGCAAAGCTTTCGAGGCACTAACATGCGCCACCACTGGCAGAAAACACCAACCCCCAAAAACCATGCCCATTAGTTTGGTGCACTTCTCCGATTGGTGCACCCAGAGGGTCCGTCGTTCAGAATTGAGAAGCTGTATGTACGTACATGTATGTCAGCTATTCGGGAGCAGTAAATGGATCGTATCTATGAGAATAGCGGTTGGTACATTTACTCTAATCCGTTGAAGAGGGAATGTCTGCTATTAGGACGTTATCGGAGATTTCACTGGAATTGCACCAAAATGTGCAGTATGATTAGACAGTGTGTTGGAGACAAACCTGGTTCTCAAAGATCCTGCCCTCAGCTATGATGATGACAAACAGGTTACCAATGGCCACCGTCCACAGCCACGCTGCTTGGCACAACGCCTTCATACTCACTGGGGCCTGGGAACGAGGCAGAGAGAATTGTAGCATTAAATCCGGAACATTCTAGAATTAGGGGCACATTTCATAGAACTACACTGTACAGTATGTGTAGACCAAAGAAGCCCAAAAAGTAGGGGTGTTAGTCACCCAATCAACTCCTTACGAAGTACGTATAATGAAACTGCATGTTCCAAAGCAGTGAGTAGAGAGAAGTATGAATCTCACAGTAATGTTATAGCCCGCTTTTAAACACTCTAAGTCAATATGATCTTGAAGGACCAATCAAAACGTTCACTGTGATATGAAGTTGGAGTAAAGTTCAATGTAATTATGCTGGAGGTGCGGTAGTGTTAGCTATTAGGGTATAGTATTGTACCAACGATAGATCAAGATACACAATACACCAACAACCTAGTTACTGAGTTAGCACGTGTCTCCCTATAGGTTCAGGGTTCACTAATCATGCGCACTACGCGTGCACACTACATCACTCCCCCTCCAGTGAGTTGGCGAACGAGTCAACTAGTCCCATTAGTCTGTCCGGAAAGTGAACATGCCGACCGGAGCGAGTGGTCCTAGCAGGAACAGACGTGGCAGCAGGAGGTGGTGGAGGAGGGGAGGGTGGTAGTGGAGGTTGTGTCATTGGGCTTGATTCTAAGTATGCCGGCTTGAGGCGATCTAGAGAAACATTGTCGTTCCTCCCGTTGAGATGCAGAGTAAAATACTTGTCTGCTCTGCCAAGTACCCGGCATGGCCCATCGTACGGCTGTTGCAGAGGTTTACGTACGGTGTCATTGCGCACAAACACGTGTGCAGCTCGCGAGCTCCTTGTTGACATACGTGTTGCGCTGAGACTGTTCACGTACTGGTACGGCTCTGAGTTCACGCATTGCGGTCTTGAGTTTGGTGAGTAAAGTGGTTGGTTCTGTGATAGTATCAGCAGAGTCGTGATGAAAGAACTCTCCCGGTAGCCTCAAAGTCGTGCCATAAACGAGTTCAGCCGCACTGCACTGCAGATCAGTCTTAAGGGCCGTACGAATGCCGAGAAGGACAATTGGCAGCCGCTCTGTCCAGTGCAGTGCAGGCGTGTGGGCTCGGAGTGCTGCCTTAAGCTGCCTGTGAAAACGTTCAATGATTCCGTGGCTATCGGGTGATAGGCAGTAGTGCGGAGATGTTTGCAGCCAAGGAGCTGGAGAAGTTGTGCCCAAAGTCGAGATTCGAATTGTCGTCCCCGATCTGTCGTAATGGTGGATGGTACGCCGAAACGTGCGATCCAACCAGCGGTCAAAGCACGAGCCACTGTTTCGGCCGTCATATCCGCCATGGGGAAGACCTCCGGCCACCGCGTGAAACGATCGATGCAGGTTAACAGGTAGGTCTGTCCCTCTGATGGCGGCAGGGGTCCGACGATGTCAATGTGGATCTGATCAAACCGCGTGTCTGGGGTCTTGAATGCGGAGAGTGGGGTGATAGTGTGACGTTGTACTTTGGACCGCTGGCACGGGAGGCAAGTTCGCGTCCAGATCTTGATGTCCTTCTTCATACCTGGCCAAACAAAACGCTCTGCAATGAGTTGTTGTGTCGCCTGCAGTCCTGGATGTGAAAGGGAGTGTAGGGCTGTGAAGACGGTGCGGCGGAGTGGTGCAGGTACAACGGACGAGGAGATGCAGTACTCGTATCACAGATGATCGTGGAGGTTGAAGCCGGAAGAGGAAGAGCCGTCAACGAAGGGACGTTGACGAGGACTTCAGGAGTGCTGGAGTTCCGAGTCCCCGGTCTGGGCCTGTGCTAAAGTTTGAAGGTCTACTGGTGTTGCTTGTACACTGTGAATGCATTCACGGCATTGCGTGAGAGTGCATCAGCCACCGGGTTGTTGAGTCCTGCTACGTGCCGCATATCGGTTGTAAATTGCGAGATGTACAGTCCAGATGTCGGATCTGGCGAGGAGTGTACTTGTCGGACGAGGTTGCGAGAGCGAATGTCAGAGGTTTGTGATCTGTGACGACGTGAAAATCACGGCCTTCCACCAGATGCCGAAAATGCTTAATTGACAAGTACACTGCGAGGAGCTCCCGGTCAAACGTGCTGTAGCGAGTCTCCGCTGGGCGGAGCTTTTTGGAGAAATAAGACAGTGGATGCCATTCGCCGCCGATCTGTTGCTGTAAAACGGCTCCAACTGCTCTGTCGGATGCATCAGCCATGATGCATGTTGGTGCGAACGGCTTAGGGTGTGACAACAGTGTGGAGGTAGCGAGGACGTCCTTGACGGCTGTGAAGGCTGCTGTTGTTGCCTGATCCCAGTTGAGTTTACGGTCGCTACCTTGTGGTGTGGTCAGGAGACCATTCAGTGGCTCTAGGATAGAGGCACAGTTAGGAATAAAACGGTGGTAAAAGTTTACCAGGCCCAGGAACTCACGAAGTTTGCGAATAGAGGTTGGGATGGGAAACTCCTGAATGGCCTTAACTCTCTCCTGCAAGGGCTTGATACCGTCTGCGCTGACTCTGTGCCCCAAGAAATCCAGCTCCGCCACTCCGAACTTGCATTTGGAGGGTTTATAACGATACCGTGGTCACTGAGGCGTTGCAATACCAGTCGCAGGTGCTCTTTGTGCTCTTCCGGTGATGCACTGGCGACGAGCAAGTCGTCGATGTACGCATAGCAAAAGGGTAGGCCACGTAAGACTTGATCTATAAATCGCTGAAATGTCTGGGCAGCGTTGCGGAGTCCGAAGGGCATCCGAACGAACTCAAAGAGGCCGAAAGGGGTTGTGACGGCTGTCTTAGGAATGTCGTCTGGTTCCATAGGAATCTGATGATAAGCTCGCACCAGGTCGATCTTAGAGAAGATTCGGGTGCCATGAAGAGATATCGAAAAGTCTTGAATGTGGGGTACAGGGTACCTGTCGGGCACGGTGCAATTATTGAGGGCCCGATAGTCCCCACAAGGACGCCAGTCACCTGGAGTCTTCTTTGGCACCATGTGGAGTGGCGATGACCAACAGCTAGCTGATGGCCGGATGATGCCTAACTCCAGCATATGAGTGAACTCCTCTCGAGCAATTTTGAATCGTTCCGGTGATAGACGACGTGTTCGACCGTAAACTGGAGGGCCTGTGGTGGTAATGTGGTGTGTGACGCTATGTTTGACAGGGGCAGTGGCCACACATGGCTGAGTGACTGAAGGGAACTCTGAGACGATGGCCTCGAATGGGGTAGCTGGGTTCCGTGGCAGCAGTGATGGACTAGGAGACGTTGCGGCAGCTATAAACCCATTCACTTTCAGACTGGTAGTGGTGTCAGTAAGGCAGCGACGTTTCATGTCCACCACCAAGCCATAGTGCTGTAAGAAGTCAGCTCCTAGAATGGCATTGGCAACGTCCGCCACCACAAATACCCATCTAAAGGTGCGACGTAGGCCCAGGTTTAGAGTCAGCGAACGTGTGCCGTAGGTAGAGATGGTGGTTTTATTAACCGCCTCTAGAGTGAGGGTGCTCGGTGACTGTTTTTTCCCGGAGAGAGGGTGGGATAACACTGACTTGGGCTCCTGTATCGACAAGAAGGCGAGAGAGGAACAGGTATCAGTTACAAAGAGTAGGCGGCTTGGAGTTAGGCCAGCGACGTCTGCCGCTTCTACGTACTGGCCCTGTCGTTTCCCGAGTATGAACAGGGTGGTGTGCACTTGCGAGCTCTAGCGCCAAAGCGGGAGTGGTACCAACACATTCCCGTGGGCGCTGTGTGAGGCGGTGGGGAATGCCGTCTTGACGGGCGGCGAGGTGAGGGAGATCGGTGACGCGTGGGCGGTGACGACGTAGCGAGGGTGGCAATCGTTTCTCTAAGTTTGGCTATTTCGGTACGGAGTTCGTCTACCTCCCCTGCTGGTTGTCGGCTGGTGACACCGGCCACAGAGAGTGGTGCAGCAGTGACAATTCGATCAGCCAGCTGGGCAAGTTCCTCAAGGGACTTTCCTTCTCCTGATGATGCCAGGACCATACGGACATTACCAGGACGTCGCTGGAGGAACATTTCTCGCAGAAGTGCGGCATCTGAACTGGCTGCGTCTTCTCCCAACAACTGTTGCATGCGACGAAGTAGCTGGGAGGGTCTTTGGTCGCCCAACTCTGTGGACTGGAACAGCTGTCGGAGCCTACGCTCCGGGGGGGAGGGCGGTGCGGGTGATTAGTTGTCGTTTCAACGTGTCATACGGCGAAGCGGCGGGGACACGGAGAATCAGATCCCGGACTTGCGTGGCGAACTCAGGTGAGAGAGAGGCGACGACGTATCGTATTTCGTCTTTTGAGCAGTGATACCTCGTGTGCTAAATTGGGCCTCCACTTGCGCGAACCACAGATGCGGGTCAGAAGGCCAGAACGGTGGCAACTTAAGATTGATGGCCGAGACTGCGTCGGTTGCGTGAGCTTCGTCTGCGACGGCCAGTGGCTGGTAGATGCACGTCGTGGTCACCAGATAAGATGTACCAACGATAGATCAAGATACACCTTATCAAAGACACCAACAACTTAGTGACTGATAGGTGTAACACGTGTGCCTCCCTATAGGTTCAGGTTCACTATAATCATGCGCACTACGCGTGTGCACCCTACAAGGCAATGCAAGCGCTCTGTAAGCAGCGTCCACGAGGTGCAGAGTACTAGTAGCAACATAATGTACTGAGAGTATGCAAACTCTAGTCCAGAGATGGAGAAGCGGACGCGCCCACAGTAATGAGATGTTGTACATTGGGAGTTTGGAGGAACCGACTGACAGAGTTTGCATGTAGCTCCACCACACTGCTGATACTGGCGACAGAGGAGGGAGGGAGTGAGAGGGGGAGAGAGTGGAGAATAAAGAGGGACGGGAGAGAGAGAAAGGTACAGAGAGAGATCAGAGCTCCTTCTTCTTCTTTGTTTCATTTCACAACTTCACTGCCCATGAGAAATGACATGCTCGCTAACTTTCAATCCACAATGCAACTAGTCATGTACAGGTGGTTTAAACATCACGCTTAATGGACTCATTCATCCATTCATCCTTTACACACAGGTCTTAATGAGTCCATTAAGCATGGTTGGCTTCCTTACCAAATCATGGTTTACTCATCATTAATGTGTATACCTTTTCATTGTCAGTGTTCCCCAGAACAATAGTGTATATTCCGCCAGTCTGAACTTGACAGAGTAACTATCTTCCCTGATGCTGGTCTGCACAATAGTAGTACCTGCACCACGTAAAACATGACTGCTATAGTGATAGTCAAAACAGAATGGGTTTTATAACATCCATTGTCATCAAACTGCCCTTTGGACTATCAAGTGAGTCATGCTACAAGTGCGTCATTCTACACTGTGTTTTTACGTCCAGTAAGTAAGCTAGATTCTATTTTTCTATTTTTCTACAATGCTAACAATTTCTTTTTTCTACCATCTGTGTTTGTGTATAATATGTATATATTTATATTTATATGTATCGTACTCTACATGTGTTGTCGTGACTGTACTATCGTACAGTTACTCATGTGTGGCTGTCATTGTTTGTGATGTGGAGTTTGGATGCTGGGTGTGTGGGGAGAGTTTGCTAGCCATAAAAGACTCTTTAACCCAGCCGTCCCGGTTCTCAAGGGCTGGGCACCCAGTGTCCTACTATCATGTCCATGTCATGTGTATTTGTGTATGTGTTTTGTGTGGATATTTTGGGGTTTGTAAATATGGTGGTGGTTTTTATTTATTTCTCTATCTATCTATCTATCTATCTATATACCTATGGCTGGTATGCTATGAACTATAATTTCATGCTTCTTTCCATGCTCCATTTTTGTGAATGTGTCAGTACGTAAGGGCTAAACTTAGTAAATATAAATAGGGCCCGGTGCAAGGATGAAATTTTCAGTTGCAGTTTCTAACTTAGCCCTTACATACTGCGAAATACCCTTTAGTACAAGAAAGCCAGCAAGTCCCCTGCTATTATATATTATATATATACCAGCTGAAATAAGTCTTCAATTATTTCACTCTTTGATGCACAGCCATGAATGCCGTGACATACATGTACAATGAAAAGCACTAAAGTGCAAACCCTCGGCGAACTGCGTAAGCGCGATACCGCTAATTGATGGGCTGGGCCGTAGTATGCGTTTACTCGTGGTCTCCCGCAGTAGCTCGCGGAGAGTCTGACATGGGCTAGCTACAGCAGTAGATAGCATGCGGGAGTCGATACATGCCCTCGGTTGAGACTTCTTGCGCCTCCAAGGAATGCAGAGCAGGCTCATCTTGTCGAGGTAAGCCTGGGCTAATTTGCATATTGGCTTGTTCATTTGCTTTTCACGCCATAACTTTTGAACGCAGTGTTTATACGAAAATCGCCAGTTTTAAATGAAGCAAATGTAGCGCAGAACCCGTTGGCGTAGACTTTTGGCGATCTTGTTGCGCCTAGTGACAGAAAACGGGAACGGACACTCAGACACACCGACCAAGTACTGTAGCCCTCGCTGCGCATGCACGCCGAGGGTTAATAATGTGTGATTACTAATGCTATGGCGAGCGCATGCCACCAACTTTAGAGTGTAAACCTTGTGAACTTCTTTTAGGCGTTCACATTGTCCTATGTGTATGTGACAGCATCAGAGTAAACAGAACACAATTTATGCAAATGCTGTCACACACTCGCAAATTCTTTTTTCTGCTCAGCTGTGTTATGTACTCACCTCTTGGGGTCGACTTGCATTGAGTCAGAGACGGTTGGGAAGGGAATATGTTGGGTGAGGACCTCACTACCACAGGACTCCAGGGAACAGTTGCACCTCTTGGAGTAGAGAGTGAAGTTCACATACGACTCGGGCACCACTGTGTTTATCACCCTGGAAACACCACACAGTACACAATAATGAAGGGTTGAGAACCAGAATTGTGTAACCCACAAAGGCCCATTTACACCCCTTGACATGAAATGCATTTTGGGAGGAGACAATCTTTTGCAAAATCTCACTTTTTAAAGTATACCCTACCCATATTTTCCCCTGTTTTTGCACTCTTGGCAATCTGCCACACTTGGGATATCCCACTCTGGTTCCCTTCAACTATTTCCTAGACAATGAAATCTTTGAGGGCTGGGAGAGATTTATGGTTTCAGGGCTGCAGTTGATACTGTACTACAGCCGTCAGTGACGTTTATGCCACAAGTCCCGCTCAGAGAAGCTCTGAAAGTGCGGTCACAGGTGTTGTTGATTTTGTGTTACCCCGTGGAGTAAACGTGTGTAACTGCGGTGATCCAGCTGTTTCATACGGTATACACCACTGTATTCTAGCACACCTGAAACTGGACTTTCCGCCATCAGGGAGGCTCTCTTTCTCACTTATCTGTTGCAGGGAAATAATTTCTAACGTGCAAAATTTAATGTTCACCTACAATATGTGGCCCCAACCATTGCAAAAATACATGTGGCATATAGGCATTAATTAGGGAGCAAAGTGAGCCTGCCTAGTTGTCTGAATTGTTGGGTTTTCCGCGTGTAACGACCAAAGATGACCATGACAATATGAGCATGCATGAACATCACAGTACACAACAGTTAAATCGTCGCTTTGCTCACCAAAAAGTTCGTTGCAAGTACTGTAGCGTCTTCAACTCCCCATTGAATACAGTGGAACCTCCGATAAGGGACCCTCCGAGATAGGGACGACCTCTCAACAAAGGACACTTGTTTTAACCCCATGCTAATAGTTTAGTGTATTATTTGACCTCCGAGATAGGGACGACCTCTCGACAAGGGACAAAATACAGTTGGCCTCATAGAGTCCCTTGTTCGGAGGTTCCACTGTATTCCGATGTGCGTAATTAAGTAGTACCCTCAGTCAGACTCACCATAACAATGGCGGGCTCTCCGTCATTGTAGACCACCAGCTGGACAATGTGCTGACTGGAGAGGGAGAAATTGAGGGACGACCCACTGCTACAGGGGTCCTCCGCCGAGAGGTCAGAGGTCACACACAGAGTCTGGTTGCTCAGGTGACCAACAGTCTGGGAGAAGGTCTGTTGGTTGAGAACATGAAAATTTTTGCATGAAATATAAATCTAAATATACTGTCGTGAGCAGGGAATCAGGTAATGTAGACCACTTGCCAGGATAGCGAACAATACCCACTGAATTCTGGGTAGAAAACGTTTAGGGAAGTGTTTTGTTTTACATATACCCTATCCACATAAAATCGTATGCTAGTAGAGTACAAACAGTTTTGTGTAAGTACACGGTCAGAGGCATTTGATGTGGAACAGGGGGTAGCTCAGGGATGTAGCTTATCTCCAATTTTGTTTTCCGTATTTATCAATGGGTTGTTGAGGGAGGTGGAGGAAGCTGAGATTGGGATCGATTTAAGTAGTGGTGGGAGACTTGGAGGACTTTTGTTTGCAGACGACTTCGTTGGTGTTAGTGAGTCTAAGGATCAGTTACAGACGCTTATAGATGTGGTGCACGCCTACTGTCGAAAATGGAGGCTAAAGGCTAATGTGAGTAAGAGTGCAGTGATGGTGTTCGCTAGGGAGTCAGTGGATGGTGCTTGGAAATGGGGGGAGTATGTTTTGCCTAGAGTATCTAAATACACATACTTGGGTGTTGATTTTACTAGTACTGGTGCATGGGATGTGCATGTAAAGAATGTGTTAGACAATGGTAGAAGGAAGGTAAATCAGTTGCATAGTGTAATTAGTAATAGGGATATTAATTTGAGTGCTCGCAGGTTGTTGTTGCTGGCGGTGGTTAGGCCAACTTTAGAGTATGGGGGTGAGGTGTGGGAAGCCAATAAGACTCAGGCAGCTGCATTAGAGTCCGTTATGCTGGGAGGAGCTAAGCGCATTCTTGGGTGTTCGTCTAAGACATGTAATGAAGCCGTTAGGGGGGATATGGGGCTTGATACGTTACAAGGGCGTAGGGATAAGAATAAGTTGAATTGGTGGTATAAGTTAGCGGCATTGCCAGGCAATAGGTATCCGAAGAAGCTTTTTAATCAGGAATGGAATTTTAAGCCACGGAGAGGCAGGCAGAGGAAGGGTTGGAGTAAGGTCATTGATGATCTGTTTTCGTCATTAGGTCTTGACAAGGCAGAGTGGTTGCATGATATTCAAAATTGGGATTGCTCCTTGAAGGGCTTTTTGTCTATAATAGGGGACAGTATTAATGAGAGGGAGATTAGAAAGTTTGAAGAGGGGCTAAATAGCAAAGGAAAGCTGTTATTGTATAAGACATTTAGCAAGGTGGTAGAGTTCAAAAAGTACTTGTGTGGGAAAAGTGATGATGGGTCTAGATTAATGTTTAAGTTCAGGTCAGGCACGCATGGGCTAAATGAGGAACTGGGCAGGCATAGGGGGAGGGAGGGGGTGAAAGAGTGCCTGTTGTGTGATGATGAGTGTGAAAGTGTGAGTCATGTGTTGTGGGAGTGTCCAGCATATAGTAGTCTTAGGAGCAATTTCTTAGTTGCCCTGCAGGGGAAGCTTGGGGATGATGGGTTTGAGCATTTCCAGTCGCTTGATAGTTTCAGGAAAGCATCCTTTATATTGGGTAGTGAACTGTGGGAGGATAATTTTGGTTCTTTGCTTGGCTTTGTTAAAGATTTTATTTTGGATGTTTGGGAGCTAAGAAAGGTTAGGTTATACGGCGATAGTCCCCGCGTACAACAAACCCAGTCTCAGATTGCGTCTGGGGAGCTGCAGGGTGTCGCTGGTGGAAGGGGTGAGTTGAGGTGTCTGGGAGGTGAGACAGACACCTCATGTTCATATGGTGTATGTTCGTGTGTTAACGGTTCCGCCCATTGCTCTGGGTGCGTGGTCTATGGCCCTAGTGCTATGGCAGCCACCTGAGTATTATTATTATTATATCAGGCTGGAGACAAGACCTCCAGAAGAAAGAACAGACCTAACTCTGTCACCTCTGACAACGAAGAGATTATCAATCCCGGTATGTCCCGGTACATATTGTGTATGTGTTATAATATGTTTAGTGGCATGTTTATTATATATACATCATGCTAGACCAACCTTACTGTGTTCTTTGAATGGTGCAGTGATTCAGTGAACTCCCCAATAAGGGACGTGGTGAAGAGACAAGCCAATCCCGCATTTTTAAAGGAGGAGGAATATAGGATTGGTATTAAGGTAAGTTTAGTTGCTGGTATTCTTGGTCATTTGGATAAAACTGTGTTGCTGGTTCTCTGTGTATCAGATGACCATGGATGAACTGGCAACGTACGTTTCTCAGCATCATGGAAAAAAGTTTTTCCAAGAACGACAATTTTCTTCGAGGAAAAAACTCCCCTTGTTGCCTGCTGGAGTAGAAATAGCTATGAGAAAGGGAAATGTGCTCTTTAAAAAAGGCATAACGTCCAAATTTAGGAGTGCACAGAACAGAGTTACTAGCCTTCTGCAAAACACAAATATTTCTGGCATAATTATTAACTCTTTGGGGTCGAATATAATTTTTACGTAACGTCTTTACGCGCATGCGTATTGCGCGCAATGCGCAACAGCGCGTTGCCACACCCTCCGCGTGCAATTCGCGCTATACGCAAGGGCTAGGAATGGAGAAGACGCTCGTGTGTGTGTTTTTCGCTGCAACGGAGAGTTCATCTGAAGCTTTTGACTCTTCTTGGAGTTCAGGAAAACCAGTGGTCAAGGTATGTCATTGTAATACGCAGGTAGCATATGACTTTCTAACACACTGACTGAATTTCGAACTAGTGTCTGAATTTGTAGGTGCCGTTGTTTTGAAGGGTGTCTGACATTGTATTCTGTTTTGTGTGAGCCCCATTTTGTGTTCAGGGTGGGTAGTGCCGCTTTGTCTTCAGAGAAGTGTGCTATAATTAGAGTTAGCTATATACACGTCTTTCGCGTTGTATGTGGTGTCACGATCTGTCAGCTAGCCAGCACCTAGCATGTTGTTTCCGTCGGGAATCCCCTCTTCGTAGGCTTCATGGGCATGTACTGAATCATGGAGGACAGACCTGTGTGCATGCATAGGTGTATTTGTGAACAGATTGTGTTTTTTACCCTTGTAGCCGATCATCGCCTCGTCAACACTGTTTTGGGGGTGAGGGCTGTAATTCTCCTTGTACTTCCACTTCATGTGTGTGATGATGGGGAGAACCTTCTGCAGACAATGGTACCCAGGCTCATTCTGTGAAGGTAAGCGTGTGTTGTCGACGAAGTGCAGGTAGCGAGATATCTGTTCGAAGTGGTCGCGTGTCTTCGACGCAATGAACGTGTTGCGCAGCAAAATTGCCGCCCTGCCTGATTCTCTCTCAGTTTCTCTTCCCCTCCCTCTCCCCCTCCCTTTTCCTCTTCCTCTAGGTCTCCCTCCTTCCTCTGTCATGCTTGTCTCTGATTGAGCTGCAATGCCATCCTCCTCGTTCGTCCAGTCCATATCACTGTCACTACTCTCTGAGTTCTCCATTTCTCCCGGACTACTGGCAGCAGGGATTGGCTCTGGATCTACAAGATTTTTACTAGCTCTAACCTTTTTTAGTCTTATTGTTTTGGGCTATTCTTGCGTGCAAAAAAACATACCATCATGCATCTGCTCAGATTCTGATTCATGGACATCAGAGTCCCACTCCATCCCCAGGTTATCATCACTACGGACTCGGGGTCCTCTCCGGCGAAGAACTGGATCACTGAGATGCGCTGTGCCACCGCGTGGGTGTAGCTAGCAGAAACTAGGAGGAGCTGAAACGAGCAAACAGGCGTGGGTGTAGCTAGCGTTGCAGCGGCGGTACTGCGCAAGCCCGCGCGTTTGGTCATGATGACGTATCTACCCAAAAGGTCACGGTTTTAGTCTATTTGTGGGCAAAGTAATATCCAAAAAGCCTCTAAGCACGAGTGAAGACGCTGGAGGAAGATGCCGACTCCTGCAGCCGGCGAAGGGTCGAGGTAAGCGTTTACACGGAGTACCTACTCCGCGCGGAACGATTCCATTCCGCGTTATCACGCATTGACGCATATTTGCGTCCTCGGCCCCAAAGGATTCCAAGAAATTTTTAAAATCCATAAGAGCAATAAAAAGATCTGAGGCCTGTTGTCCTGACAAAAATTAATATCTGCACTCATGCTAAAGTCAACAGCCTCGAGCATTGCGCCTTCCATTACTGTGCTTTTTAAATGCTCTGTTCGTTGTGGCAAACTTCCTGACCTGTGGACATTTTCAATGGTTGCTCCCATTCCAAAATCTACCAACATGTCTGAACTAAGTGATTATATACCGGCCTATATCACTGCCGTGCACACTTCGAAAATGTTTGGAAAAGCGTGTACAACGTGATTTTGGAGCACCTTGTCGATTATTTATCCACCAGGCAGTGGGGTTTTCGTTCCAGCCATCTCTGCCTTGTTATCAGTGACCCATGATTGGCTACTCTTGAAAGAGGTCAGGAAGTACGTGCCATTTTCTTTGACAATCATAAAGCGTTTGACAGTGTTCCTCATCGACCTCTTCTCTCAAACTCAGTTGAACAGTGTTATCCTGAGTTGGCTAACTATATGACTGAGAGATGTCTGTTTGTAAATGAAGCTAAGTCAACGCCATCACCTGTTCTATCTGGTGTGCCTCACGGATAAATTCTGGGACCCTGCTTTTCTTGGTTTACATTGATGACCTGTCACGTGTTACATTTTCTGAATCTCCAAGACTGCACATGTTTGGAGATGATGTGCTACTTTAGCAAGTCATTGACTCCCCTGAGGACTTTGTGTCAGTGGAAGAGAAAATCAACTGTGTTTATAATTGGTCAATGCAATTAATTTTTGTTGATGATATCTGGAGTCAGCACAGCATGTCCGTATGAAGGCTAAGAAGCTGGTTGGCCTTCCTTATCGGAACCATTACCACAACTTTGCAGCTTTATAAGTCGCTGGTTAGACCTCGCCCGCAATATGCTGAAACAATTTCGTCTCTTTTTTCACAGAGTGATAATTTACTTTTAGAGAAGGTCCAAAATTTGCTCTGTGAATGGTTACAAACCAAGACGACAGGATAAAGTCACCGCAGCTCCTCCTATATCATGTACGAATTTTGGTCTGTCACAGAAATTGTCAATACTTTTAGAGAGAAAACTATACTCAAATTGCAGAGTGATTCCCTCTGTTTTTCAAATGCAGTCATAGGTGATGAACCAACCGACTGACTTTGATAGATTTGCCTTTATGAGTTATAAAGATGCAAAACTTCTCTTTGTGGCTAGACATATGACATGTATGGCCTTTCTTTTTCTAGTCTCATGCGAAAGGCCAACACTGCCGGAGTTGATCAAGATGAAGTTGCCATCACGAGTTGGACCTAAGCTACAAACATTCAGCACACTCCTTCTCCAAGATGAATTTGGAGACATAGTGGCCAACATTGTTGAAGATTGCCGTGGAAAGACAGAAAAGGTCATAATGGAGGTTCTCAGGGAATGGCTGGCAGGGAAGGGGGTGGAGGTGTCGTGGGAGAGCCTCATAGCAACTCTGAGAGACTGCGAACTTTCACTTATGGCCGACCAGATACAGATGGCACTGGACCAAATAAGATCTTGATGATTTGTGCTCCTAAATTCAATGTATTATGTTTTTGTACGTTTTTTTAATGTATATTTTTTTGGATATTATTATAATCATCTTTTTGACATGGAAGGCTGTGGTCTGACATTAATAAATATGCTTCTATATACATGATTTTTTTACTTTTTTACTCTGTGCACATTCCAAGTAAATATCTGATTGTGATGCTGAGAGCTACAGTAGAGCTGGTGTTTGTTTTCACTGTTTGTCATTATCTATAATTATACCACACAGTAAATCCCTCATCTGTGGTGCCGACTGCTGTTTATCACATTATTATGGCAGATAACGAGAGGTCTAACAAAAGAAAATTTACTATTATTATTATGCATAATCTTGTTGAACCTCGGCTTCTTTCATGAACTGGAGTGCACTTATAGTTTAATCCGAAGGTGCATACGTGTAATCATGTGGTCTGTCTGTCGGTGCTGTGTCTGTGTGTCGGCGTGAGGAGGTTCTACATCCCTGAAATGGTGCCCACACGGAGTACGAGGTGGGAATTAAGGTGCCCAACATTCTTTAGTATAGAAATACGATCAACCAGAGGGAGTTTCTCAATAGATTGTTGTGGAAATAGTGAAACACTGCTCTAAGGTGATTGATCAATGTGTGATCCATAACGCGCAAGAGAAAACTGATTTTTCCGAGCTGCCACCCTTTGTAGCTGAGCATTTTCCTCCCTTCGACTAATAAACTCGGCAGCAGTGACCAAATATGACAATTGGTGTGCATCATTTAGAGATTAGACTATAAACACAGTACACATAATATTCATTTTTGTCAGTCTGTTGCTCTATGTATCCGAAGTCGGTGTAGCGGTAAGGATGCTATCTTATATGTCTTGCTAATTTTCTTGTCAGCCGGAGCGCTACATGTGACTGTCACATGATGCATCTCCTGATCCCCTGTGTAGATTGCTAAAAATCTGTCTATTGTTTCGTTCCCCAACCTTTCGGACTTGGCTTTTTGAATAATTATAGTTGGTGTACAGAGAGAAATTGAAGCAATTACAAGTGTTGAATGGGGCTCATGAACTATGCATATTAGGTGAAAACATGCCTTTCGCTGTCATTATTACAGTTGCATATCTGGTTTGTTTACTTGGGTTGAGGTTTATATACTTCTCTGTTAGCTAGTGTATATGCAATGCACATAATTATTTTGCACACAATTAAACCCCTGAAAGTAAGGACACTCACCAATATGGACACTTGGTGTCTGTAGCACATTTCAAGATGGCCTAAATCAAGAGTGACAGCCTCTCTAAGACACCTCGCCAATATGGACACTTTCTTCTGTTCCCATTGGTGTCCACTGTACTTATTCTGCACTAGCACATGTGACGTTTGTTGGTGTATATACAGTGGCGTAGGAACCACGGGGGCTCAAGGGGGCTGGCGCCCCCCTATATTTTCTCAGGCTCGCGCGTAGAAAATCAGTGGGTGTGGCAGCGCCTACATGTTCTTTACGTATGCGTGTGGAGCCCCCCTTTGTCCGAAAATCTTCCTACGTTACTGATATATACCATGAGGTGGGAAGCCCACAAACCAATACTACTCTGTCTTTCGGAGCCTGGGCGAGGACGTACACTAGCTCAGGTAATTCTTGAGATAACGACAGGGGGAACTGGAAATATATATCCCCACTGCATACCCATCATTGCCATGAAATATTCTTATCTCTTTATCGGTTGTGTGTGGTAGTAATAACAACAGGTAACTTTGCAAAAGTGTCTGTAGTTGTCGTAGTAGACCATGTAAGGAAATGTGGCTGTATGTACACATAATTATATAAGGGCTATATGAGCAACTATGTACCCTGTTTTTCAGTTTTACTGTCACATTTCCTTTAAGCTGGGGCGTGTAGCTATACACATGAGTAAGGATGCACACGGCCTGTTCTCTTCACCCGTGGTCTCATTGTAAGTTGAACTGTTGCAGTCAGACGGTTACCATGGTGATGGGGGAGTAGGGGGAAGAGGAGGGAGGTACCCTCCTTGGTCTGCCTGAACTCGACACTGATGTTGACGTGAGTTGACTCTCACTTTGTCTAAGAAAATTCAAAATTTCGGTCGGCACAGAATAATTATGGTGGTAATTTTGGCCAGCTGGGGTAAAATGTTTGTAATTAATACGCAGTTTGTTTTAGAGGTACATCTTTACGTGAATGTTGAATGAACATGTATTGGACAATATGCACTTTGGTTTGTCATCAATTTTGTTAGTTTTCTTGTGTAATCCATCCCTCACCTTTCTCGTAACTTTATAACAGGCTGGAGACAAGACCTCCAGAAGAAAGAACAGACCTAACTCTGTCACCTCTGACAACGAAGAGATTATCAATCCCGGTATGTCCCGGTACATATTGTGTATGTGTTATAATATGTTTAGTGGCATGTTTATTATATATACATCATGCTAGACCAACCTTACTGTGTTCTTTGAATTGTGCAGTGATTCAGTGAACTCCCCAATAAGGGACGTGGTGAAGAGACAAGCCAATCCCGCATTTTTAAAGGAGAAGGAATATAGGATTGGTATTAAGGTAAGTTTAGTTGCTGGTGTTCTTGGTCATTTGGATAAAACTGTGTTGCTGGTTCTCTGTGTATCAGATGACCATGGATGAACTGGCAACGTACGTTTCTCAGCATCATGGAGAAAAGTTTTTCCAAGAACGACAATTTTCTTCGAGGAAAAAACTCCCCTTGTTGCCTGCTGGAGTAGAAATAGCTATGAGAAAGGGAAATGTGCTCTTTAAAAAAGGCATAACGTCCAAATTTAGGAGTGCACAGAACAGAGTTACTAGCCTTCTGCAAAACGCAAATATTTCCGGCATAATTATTAATGCGAAGGAAGAAATTTTTAAAATCCATAAGAGCAATAAAAAGATCTGAGGCCTGTTGTCCTGACAAAATATCTGCACTCATGCTAAAGTCAACAGCCTCGAGCATTACGCCTTCCATTACTGTGCTTTTTAAATGCTCTGTTCGTTGTGGCAAACTTCCTGACCTGTGGAAATTTTCAATGGTTGCTCCCATTCCAAAATCTACCAACATGTCTGAACAAGGTGATTATAAATTGTACCGGCCTATATCACTGCCGTGCACACTTCGAAAATGTTTGGAAAAGCATGTATAACGTGATTTTGGAGCACCTTGTCGATTATTTATCCACCAGGCAGTGGGGTTTTCGTTCCAGCCATCTCGGCCTTGTTATATATCAGTGACCCATGATTGGCTACTCTTGAAAGAGGTCAGGAAGTACGTGCCATTTTCTTTGACAATCATAAAGCGTTTTACAGTGTTCCTCATCGACCTCTTCTCTCAAACTTACAGTTGAACATTGTTATCCTGAGTTGGCTAACTATCTGACTGAGAGATGTCTGTTTGTAAATGAGGCTAAGTCAACGCCATCACCTGTTCTATCTGGTGTGCCTCACGGATAAATTCTGGGACCCTGCTTTTCTTGGTTTACATTGATGACCTGTCACGTGTTACATTTTCTGAATCTCCAAGACTGCACATGTTTGGAGATGATGTGCTACTTTAGCAAGTCATTGACTCCCCTGAGGACTTTGTGTCAGTGGAAGAGAAAATCAACTGTGTTTATAATTGGTCAATGCAATTAATTTTTGTTGATGATATCTGGAGTCAGCACAGCATGTCCGTATGAAGGCTAAGAAGCTGGTTGGCCTTCCTTATCGGAACCATTACCACAACTTTGCAGCTTTATAAGTCGCTGGTTAGACCTCGCCCGCAATATGCTGAAACAATTTCGTCTCTTTTTTCACAGAGTGATAATTTACTTTTAGAGAAGGTCCAAAAATTTGCTCTGTGAATGGTTAGAAAATGTTGTGATCTCAAAAACGGGTGTTCTGTCTCTTGAGAAACGTAGAGAAGTGGCTAGACTTTATATCCTGTACAGAATTGTGAACAGCTTGTGTGTTTTTTTCTCATTGTACCTCTCATTCCTATCATTCTCACCCCTTTCTCAGTGGCGTATCAAGGGGGGGGTGCTTTGGGTGCTCCAGTTTGCGCCACCACATACACATGTTAGCCGCTCGCAAGACTAGGCTCACCGGCGGCGGCGAGTCGCTGGAACAGCGCGCGAGCGTAGAAACACTTACGCGCGCAAGCTAAGCGCGTATTGAACCCGCGCAGGCAGCTAATTGCACATCAACGAATTTGCTAGACGCCACCCGAGGAGGCTACAAATGGCTAATGTTGGAGCGTGTACTGAAATGTTCGCGCGCTCGTAGCACCCCCCTATTGTAAATCCTAGAAACGCCACTGTTTCTTCAGTACTAACTCCATGTACTACTGTTTTGTTCCTGCTACTATTAGAGTGTGGAACAGTTTTGATTGTACTCTTTGTTCTGAACCCTCTTTTTCTCCGTTCAAACGTCGTCTTGTTCATTTATATTCTAAAGGGAGTCATGTCTAGTATTAACAAATGAGTGCTAGATACATGTATTGTATGTTTCTGTGCTATAAAAAAGCCACTTCATAAAACGCGCAGTCCCGCCCCTACAACGTTGTAATACGCACGCCCCTCTATAAATATTAGTGGAAATGTTGAACATTGTTGGCGAGCGGGAGCGACCCAACTTGGGATTTGGCCGCGATGTTCTGGCTGCATAACGTACCGTCAGCGCACAGCTTTCCTTTCGTGAAGCAAGACAGATCTACCTGTCGCCGTTACATGCGTACTGTATATTCCCAGAACGGTGTGCAGGTGAGCAGAACGGTATATACCTACCTTACGCTTTCAGCTCGTCAGTCGTGGTCCACCAGGCAACGGGCATGCTGCAGTATGTGCAGGAGCAATCCTAGCGTATTTGCAAGTTGTACCTTGGAACCATGAAGATTGGGAAGGGGTTCAGCCTCGGTCAGTCACCCAAGGTTACAGCGCATACTGTCGATGGAGAGGAGAGTTCTCTAGCTGGCTAGATCGATCGGCGAGGCACCGTGTGCGAAAATGTGTAAATTTTAAAACAAGCGCATGCGCACTGCGCAATACACTGAAAATTCCGCTCGAAAGAACGACTAGGTTGGCTCGCCCCCGCTCGCCAATTATGTGTGGGGCGTCACTCGTCTGCGTGGACTGCAAGCAAACTTAGAAGGACTCTAGCTAGTTTACCCGGCAGTGAATCTCACCGTTTTGGAGCCGACACGTAAAAAATGCAGGTCCTACTCGGAATAAGTTTTTTACTACTTGTTCAGATTGTTGTCGGTAAGGATTGAGCAGTAGCAAGCTAGTACATAGCAACGGTGAGACTGCTCCTCTGTTGTCTGTAGTTACTGGGCAGCAGTGCTCCGAGGAGGGCGTGGTGAGGTTGGCGGATGGCGTGAGCGCGGAAGGAGTCGGAGTTTACGGCAGAGTGGAGATCTGCATCAATCAACAATGGGGCACAGTGTGTGACGGCGGCTGGGACGTGGCGGAGGCCCGCATCGCCTGCTCACAACTGGGTGCTTTCGACTGTAAGTGTAGGTAGCTATAGCTATAGCTATTAGCGGCTTATGCCTGGCCTTTTGATTAATTTTCAGTCGCTATTGCTTTAACCGAATACGGCGGTGGATCTGGTCTAATTCACTATTTTTCTTGTGCTGGGAATGAAAATGGTCTTTTGAACTGTTCGAGTGATCTAGATGTTGATTACTGCTACCACTCAAGAGATGTTGGAGTTCTATGTTATTATGGTTGGTTCATTGATCTCAGAGACCATATATAGCTTGACATTAAACTCAATGATCCGCAGCGGAGTGTAATGAGACTGATGTTAGACTAGTTGATGGCAGGACTCCTAATGATGGACGTGTGGAGATATGTTTTGAGGGGGTGTGGGGATCTGTGTGTGACGACAGTTGGGATGAAAGAGATGCTGAAGTGGTGTGTAGACAATTGGGATATGATGGAAGTGAGTTTGCTCGGTAACAATCTGTATTAATATCTGATGCAATATTCATCATCCCAGGACCTATTGCACTGATGAGCCATCCATTTTTGTCTAATTACTCACTGCAATATCATCTGGATGATGTTGAGTGCTCTGGAAGCGAAGACATGTTGAGTGATTGTGCACATGGCGGAATTGGTGTTCACAATTGTTTTGTAATGGCAGAAGAAGCTGGAGTTACATGCAGTGGTGAGTTTTTTGGTGTATAGTCCCATCTCTGGAGTTATTCAAGTGCCAATGAATGTCAGAGTGCAACGAGACTGATGTAAGACTGGTTGATGGTGTGACTTCTGATGATGGACGGGTTGAGATATGTTTCATTGGGCTGTGGGGCTCAGTATGTGATGACAGTTGGGACTACAGAGAGGCTAGAGTGGTTTGTCAGCAACTTGGGTACAACGGAAGTGAGTACTTCCCTTCTAAGACATATGCTCACTTCTTCATATCCACACAGCGTCTGCTGCACTGTCAAGCCATCGCGTGTTAACAGACGAGTCGCTGTTCTATTATCTTGATGATGTTGACTGCCGTGGGAACGAAAACTTTCTGAGTGAATGTGAACATAGAGGAGTTGGTATTCATAACTGTGGTGTGGGGTATGAAGAAGCTGGAGTTATATGCAGCAGTAAGCTTTAGTTTCACAATATACAGTGTAAAGCAAACTGCTACATCTGACATTAATACCTAGACGCCGTTGAATGCGACGAAACTGATGTTAGGCTGGTTGCGGGTACAACCCCCTATGATGGACTGGTTGAGATCTGTCTCTACGGGCTGTGGGGCTCAGTGTGTGACACCAGATGGGACTACAGGGACGCTGAAGTTGTGTGCCGACAGCTGGGATATGATGGACGTGAGCCGAAAAATCAGAAATTAATACAACATGAGAGTCAAAGCAAACTTCACATGATTACAGTGTTATACCCAAATGCTTCTCTCCATTACACTTGATTTCTATTTTGCCCTAATAGCCTCATATCCTTTGCTAAGCCACTATGGCAGTAGTGAACCACGGTATCATCTGGATGATGTCCATTGTGAGGGAACTGAGAGCAGTCTCAGTGACTGCAGTCACAGAGGTATTTGGGTCCATGACTGCTCCCTGTACGAGGCTGCAGGAGTCGTATGTACCAGTGAGTTTATGATTAAGGTGTTTAACGCTGTTAGTACGATGCTGTAAGGGACAAATCTAAAACAAGTAATTAAAATGCCCTATCATAGCCCCATAGCTACATGTATGACGGTAGGTACTGTGCCCATCCCCATAAATAATACATTACCGTACAGAAAAAGGCCCATTTGACGCAAAGTTTGTATGTAGACACTGAATAGGAGTGCTATTGTAGTACAAGTAGATGATGGATGGTCAAAGCATATATATTACAGTTATTTGTTGCTTTCTGTAAGCTGGAGTTTTCTCTCTAGATGTAACATGTATTGAGGGGACGGTTCACCTGGTTGGAGGTGATGATGTATCTCGAGGGAGAGTGGCGTACTGCTATAATGGAACCTGGTACTCAGTCTGCGCCAGTGACTGGGATACCACAGGAGAAGAGGCAAGAGTTGTCTGCCAAACCCTCGGCTATGATACATCTTACTATGGTGATTAATATGCATGTTGCCTTATAAAATTGTCATAGTTATCTATTATAGCTTCAGTCGTTGTCAACTATGGTCGAGGGACTAATCCATCCTCCCACTGAGTATTCAATGTGCCAGTGGGTACCAGTACATTCAGTGACTGCTCTACAGCTGAGCTTGATGTTAGTCAGTGTCACATGCTG